CCAGAGATTTTTCTCCAAAAGTCCTCATTATGTAGAAACATGAAACTATTCATGGACCATTGATTTTTCCCACGGGGATAAAAGAGGAAGCAGGGAACTCAGGGAGGAAGTCCATCAGGAGAGGGCTGTGACAATGGTGACTTAGATAGCTCTAGGAGTGAACAGTGGGTTTAGGTTTCTAAAAAGAGGATAGATCTTCAGAGATCAAAGCTAGTATAATTTGGGGGGTGTTTTCTTCTCTCCAGGATGAAGATGGAAAGACATTGTCAGATGAGGACATTAGATCACAGGCTGACACCTTCATGTTTGGGGGTGAGCGTCCCAAGGGGGGACTATAGTGGGGGTAGAGGTCTCTCCATCACAGAGACTTGGCGCATGGACCTGGATCACTCCATCCCTCCCATCCTCCCTAAATGCCTCAATGTAAGGGTGCTGTCCATCTCTCTGGTGATGAAGCAGCTGAGAGACCTGTGTCAACCTTCTTGCCACTCAGGCCATGACACCACAGCCAGTGCTCTCTCCTGGGTGCTGTACAACCTTGCAAGACATCCAGAATACCAGGAGCGTTGCCGGCAGGAGGTGCAAGAGCTTCTGAGGAACCGTGAGCCTGAAGAGATTGAATGGTGAGTGCAGGTCCTCATGGCCTGTTCCTGAGCCCCACCCCACCCCCATTGGCTCTGCTCCACAAGTGGGGAGGAGAGAAGCTGTTTTTCTTGATTCCACCAGTATTGCTTAGCAATAATAGGAGCAGAACCCAGAGGCAGTACTTGGTATGTCCCCTGGCTATCAGAGGAAAGGTTGCAAGATTTAAGGACAGAAAGACCTGGGTTGCTGAGAGAATTAGTAACCATGAAAATGGTTAATGATGACACTTAGCCTGTCCAGTCCCTTTCTTTTCTCCTTGAAATAACATTGTTTTAAACATCTTCTTACTCACTAAATGTTCGCTTTTCTGTGGCCTAATTCCTCCCCTACTGTACACTCCAAGAATTCATACAGGAGATTCAGAGGTAAAAGTCATCTACCTCTTGTCCACAATACATACTATCATTCATCAATCCAGTATTTTTTAACAAGCACCCCAACACTGCCTTCTCATCACCAATTCTGCACCCTGCATTTTTTGGTGCTCTGAAGAACTGGAAAGGACCCATCCCAGGAATCCACCTTTCAGGTGTTTCCAGCATGATTAGGGAACAGTCCTAGGTCAGGACATTCGCAG